TCATCTTTTTCTTCTTCTTTTTTTTAAAGCATGCTGGACATCTACTAAGTGTATTATTTAAAATCAAATTTTTAATTTAGGACCTTTAACCTCAGAGACATTATATAAATTTAAACATATTTGTCCTTGAGATAAAATACTTTTGCTATATACATTTTGACCAACCTTATTTTAAATGTGAACCCACTAGAGGATTTAAGTACTCAAGCTTAAATTTATATTTCATCATGGTGATATAAAGAGAACATTTTTAATTAAAAAATTTGCATGAAGGCCATCCATTTAATTTTAAGAAAATCTTTACCTAAATTAATTTTTAACTTAAATATCAATTTATTAAAATTAATAGAAATATTTTTGTATGCACCGATTATATTATACGATTTCAAGAGAAACCACACAATAGTAAAAATTCAGAAGTAGGCAACCTATAATATTCTGACTAGAAAAATATAAAAGCAAGAGGTGCCACAACAATAGGAGCAAATAAAAGTGAGGTAGAGTGATTAAAAGATCATGATTATATAGAGAGTGTAAACAAAAAGAGCATGAAACCAAAAAAATATTTTCTAGTCAAAGAGGATGGCTAGAAGAATGAGTAATATAACTAAATAAGCATGAATACGTTAGGAATAGACTTAGTTAAAAGAGCATGGATAGTCTAGGAAGATTCTCAATCAAAGAACATGAATGGGAGGAATGAGAAAGTATAATCATGAGTGCATGATCATACCAAGGATAAACTCAACCAAAATTAAATGATTAAGATTGCATGAAGTCTAATCAAAATATAGTGACTAAATTATAATATCAATCCTAGTTAAGATTGTTGAATCAAAATGATGAAATGCATGCCAATGATGTATACTAGAGTACACGATAATGGCCTTTAAAAGTGCATTTTAAAAAATTTTGTAAAATACTATTCACTCTTGGTACAACTTTTGGCCACTATTTTTTTGTTGCTTTTAAAAAATTTGTCCTAGAAAATTGCTGTAGAAAGTAGTAAGAAAACTATCCCAAACAAAGCTTTAATTTGATAATAAATTTTTAGGTTATTTAAATATGCATTTATTTGAAGAGTGTAACACAACTCCATTTTTAATAAACAGTTACTAAGGTGCTTTCTAGAGTAGAATTTAACTAAGCTTTAATTTAGCAAATTTTTGTAAATCAAAATTAGTAAATCCTCCTAAGGGCGTTAAATATGCAAAAATTATTTTCTAGCTAAAAGGTGTGATGATCACAACTCATCTTGGTCTATTGGTTGAGAGCTTTGGCTACCAATCAAGATGTCTTGTGTATGTGATGTGTGTGTGAGTTTGTCTTATTTGGCAAAAATGTCCCAAAAAAAGGGGCGATGAGTACTAATAAGGAATCTAAAAAAAAGTTAGAAATAGCTTAGTTAAAATTATATGGAATAAATTATCAAGTTTGAGATCACTACCCATAAAATTAGTAGCCTCATTTTAAATTGCTCCATTAGTATTCATAAATCATATCATATAGAGTGAGGCTCATAATATAATATTGATAAACAAAATATAGGTTTTTTAGATAGATAAAATTTAACATATTTGGAGTGATGTAGGGTTTATAATACTTAAATCCATAAGGAATACCTACATAATAAAGTAAACAAGATAGCTTGATTAGACATAATTTGGGCTACACAACTGAACTTATAATCATATCCAGATCAAGATCGCCACTACCTAGCATGTTAGACATCTTATTTTTTTTAGCATGGACATCTACTAAGTGTATTATTTAAAATCATGTTTTCAATTCAGGACCTTTATCCTGAGGGGCATTATATAAACTTAAATGTATTTGCCCTTAAGATAAAACACTTTTACTACATTTTGACCGACCATGTATTAAATGTGAACCAACTAGAGGATTTAACTACTAGGAGCTTACATTTACATCTCATCATGGTGATATAAAGAAAACATTTTTAATTAAAAAATTTGCTTGAAGGCCATCCATTTAATTTTAAGAAAACCTTTACCTAAATTAATTTTTTAGTTAAAATATCAATTTATTAAAATTAATAGGAATTTTTTTTGTATGCACTGATTGCATTACATGATTTCAAGAGAAACCACACATAATAGTTAAAATTCAAAAGTAGACAACCTACAATCTGATTAGAAAAATGTAAAAGCAAGGGGAGCCACAACAACATGAGCAAATAAAAGTGAGGTAGTGTGATTAAAAGATCATGATTATATAGAGAGTGCAAGCGAAAAGAGCATGAAAAGCAAAAAGAGCATGAAGGATGAGTAATATAGCTAAATAAGCATGAATATGTTAGGAATAGACTTAGTTAAAAGAGCATGGGTAGTCTAGGAAGATTCTCAATCAAAAGAACATGAATGGGAGGAATGAGAAAGTATAATCGTGAGTGCATGATCATACAATGGATAAACTTAGCCAAAATTAGATGATTAGGCTTGCATGAAGTCTAATCAAAATATAGTGACTAAATTATAATATCAATCCTAGTTAAGATTGTTGAATCAAAATGATGAAACACATGCCAATGATGTATAATAGAGTAGACCATAATGGTCTTTAGAAGTGCATTTTAAAAAATTTTGTATAATACTATTCACACTCTTGGTACAACTTTTGATAACTATTTTTTGTTGCTTTTAAAAGATTTTGTAGAAAATTGTTGTAGAAAGTAGTAAGAAAACTATCCCAAACAAAGCTTTTATTTAATAGTAAATTTTTAGGTTATTTAAATATGCATTTCTTTGAAGAATGTAACACAACTCCATTTTTCATAAGCCTTTTTTTAATTCCTTAATCCATTCGAGATTATCACTCCAAATGCAGTTGTTAAAAATTATAATAAAAAAGTTTTAGCATATTGTGAAAAAAGATGCCTTCAAATATAATCTTGTAAGCGTTTTATTATAATATAAAACCCTACCAAATGTTACCACAAAGTTAATAAAGCGTTGTCGGGCTACAAGTAAGATTTAACTAAGTTTTAGGCTTCATTTGAGACAGTTTTTTTATTACTTTTTAAAATAATTTTTTAGAGCAAAAATTTCTTGAATTAAAAAAATTTATACTAGAAAGTCATTTTAGGAAGTAGTACGAGAGTTGTCTCAAACAAAGTCTTAGTTTTGCAAATGTTTGTAAATCCAAATTTAGTGAATCCTAAGGGCATTAAAACTTGAAATTTGTTTGGCATCATAGCAGCGAAATTTTACGAAATTTGTTATTTTTAGAATTTAAGATTTATAAATGCTTTAGTAATGAATTTAATCTTAAACAATCAAGAAGAGTTGCAAAAAGGAAGAAAAAGATAACGTGTTCATAAAATCAATTTTACTTTTGAGATTAAAAAAGGACAACTAGACTGCTTATTATGATTTGATTGCATATTTAAATTAGATTAGTGAAGTTATTTGATTACTAACAACAAGTTTAGGAGGAGCTCTATCTAAGCGAGGGTAAAGAATACAACATTTAGTTTTGCAATGCCCCAAAGACTTGCAGTGGTCACAAAATGGAAGAAAATCATCCATAACAACCTGTTGGATGTAACCTCAAATATCAGGATCAATCCAAGTAGCCTCTGGATAACTTTTGAATTATCAAATTCAACAAGCACCCTAACAACAAATGATTGACAACCAACAATAGCAGCATTATCAGTTTTCAATGGACAGTCAAAAAGCGAACCCAAGCCGTGTAGAATGCGGCGTGAGAATAGATGATGCCTAAGATTTTGGAATGAAATCCAAATAGGAATGATCGAAGATTCTACAGTAATATAAAAAAAGGCAACCACTTAAACAACTTCTTGTAACAATTGGAGATAAAGTAAGAGCGATGAGAAAATACTCTATTGTAAACCATATCATTAATCAACTTAATTAAAACATGCCTTAGATCAAAAACAATGATAGAGTAATCACCATTCAACTTTAGGTTGAAGAAAAACTTATGCATCAACTCAAGAGGAGGACAACGATTCAACGATTTACCAACCAACACATGCTCAAAAGGTTGCTCCAGAGGAAGGATTTCCTGTTCCGAAATCCATAAGGATGAAAGCTCGCAATGCATTGTAGCTTTGAGGTCAAGAAAATCATTTGAAAAGGAAGCCACAAACAAAGCTTCAAGAAAAAGAACGAATATTTTTTTGGCCATTAAGAAAACCACTGTCCGTTAAGCGATTAACCACCATCCAAGTCGAAAAATGATGGGAGGTGGCACGATCGCAAATGGAAAACGAAGAAAAGAAACAGAGAAAGGGAGGGAAAAACACTAGGAGAGAAAATCCCAAAAGATCTTGAGTCATGAAGAGGAGAAGAAGATCGACAAGGGTTGCTAGGTCAGAAACCCTAGCAAAGCACACGTGAGTGGCATGGGCGGAATAAAAAAGATTGCTTCCAAGATTCCTTTGGTAATTTAGAAGTTACTAATTTTTTTAATTATTTTTTTTTTTAATTTAGAAGTTAATAATATGTAAATTGATTAGAGTATCTAGGGTTTACTTATCTGCATGAATATTCACTTAAAATTTATTTAAACTATGACCTAATCCTATTTATTTATTAGGATTTTATTACGGATGAAACAAACTGTAATTAGAGTAATTAGTATGATTTAACTACGTGCATTAAAATATTATTATTATTATTAGTCAATTAAAGTATTTAGATCAATAATAATTAACTACCTATCTAAATGAAGATTTATTTAAGAATTAATAAATATTTTTAGACTTTATCCATCTTCATACCAGTAAATTAACATGTGAAAACCAATTCAATAAATTTATTCACTGTGATTCTATGACCACAATAGGCATCCAGAAGTTTTTACTGGCTGGTAGAAATTTTTGAGGAACAAGAAGAGAAGATGACTCTTACAGAGCCAGTGAAATCATAAGAAATTACTAACAGGATATCATAACAAGGAAATAATATAGTAATTTTTTAGAACCAATCGTAAAGAACAAATCTTGATACTTTTTTTTTTTCACAAGAAAGTTCATATATAAATATAATTTTATAATACAATCAAGGTGTTATTTATGCATCTGATGAATTAAATTATTTCTTTATAATGGAAACAACGAATTAAATTATCAAAGTGTTATATAGTTATCTATACCAACATAATAAGCCCCTTTCATTTCATTGCATGTTTTTTTCTTCTTAGGCGTGGGAACAATGAATAGTAGAATTTCAATTGGAATTAGCACCTGAGTGAAGTTGGTCGCATTAAATCAGCGGGGAATCTCCTTTCTCCAGATCTTGTAGGATTTCAATTGATCTTCGAAGAAACGTCTTAGCTTGTTCACTTTTCTCGATCTCCATTAGATGAATAACCTCGCTTTTGAACTCCACAAGTCTCTTTTGTTCGGATGGAATGCTTCTATTTAGTTTGACAATCTCTAGAATGCATTCTGAAGCAGCAGTATGAAACTGAGAAGAAAAACATGTATAATTACAATATGGACCAGAAGATTTATGCTTCGTTTGGGATGGCTTTCTTAGTGCTTCTTAAAATAATTTTTTAGTAAAAAAAAATTAATTTTTATATTAGAAAACTACTTTAAGAAAAAGTAAGAAAGTCGTCCTAAATAAAACCTAAGGCTTCGTTCAGAACAGTTTTTTTGTTACTTTAAGGAAAAGTATGAAAGCAAGCCTAAATCTAATTAATCAAATTGAAGAGAAAAAATAGATTAAGATACTCTTAAAGTTCAGCTTCAGATAAATGTTGTGGATCAGAGGAAGAATAGGGAAGTCAAAACATAACAAAATAAAAAGATAACAGCAGTTAGCATATTGGAGTCATGGAGATCCACAAATGTGGGCATAAAAGTGAGCTATTATAAGATGTCTTAAGATGGAAAGAGATCCACAACTATAAGAAATTATGCAATATATTACCATCACTAGAACACCTTTGATTCAGTGTCATTGGATTAGACATCGTATCTATTCGTGTAGCTGTTTTTATCAATAAAATGACGCACATATATTTGACCTGATTTGGTTTAGTCCGACAGACAAGGCACATAATTTACTTCAAAATTCATTAAATGAATCAAACTCTATATTACTCGATCAAGATTAAAAGAAAAATTTTAATTATTGCCAATATATGATTTTTTACCAATACACTCGAGCCTCGACCCTTTAATTCCTTTGTTTTATAAAACCTATTTTATTTGGAAAGCAACTTGCTAATGTTAAGAAAATAATGTAATGGAAAAAAGAGAAAAAAATTGTTGTGTCAGATACCGCCAGGAGAGAGATGAATAAAATATGACCTGTAGAGCTGTTTCATCTGCAAAAAACACCAATTCTAAGGATAATTAAAAACCAGAATCCTCATTATCCATCATTAGACTTCATCCCAAATTGCTGGGGCAGCAACTTAGCTAAGTCGACTCATGAGCTCGCATTAGTTTGTCTCGATGAAATGAATCTTAAAACCAAGCTCGATGAGCCAATAAATCATGTTAGAGCCTACTCTACTCAGCTCATTAGCTCGTGAGCAATAAATATTAATATAAATATGTTCGTAAATTTTAGAATTCAAGTGTTCAACAACAGGTTTGAAAATCCAAACATAGTACTTCCCCTCTTTCTCTCTTAATTTCTCTTTTTTTCCATGTTCCAATATTGCAATATTTGGATTGGCATTCATCTTTTGCCTTACATAAGAAGATGAGCTAGCTAGTAAGCAAGCTCATACTCACTGAATGAGCAAGAACTTGATGCATTTATATTTTGTCTTATGTCTTATTTTATTTTGATGTAATGTGAACAATATTATTTGTGTTTTATTTTTTTAAAAGCTATCCAATGATGGAGAACATCCAATGATCATGGTAGGATGTGCTTGGGCATGGCACGGCTTGGGTTTGCTTGCATTTGAGTCATTGTCCTTTGGGCTGTTTGCTGTATTTCGATTTAGGCCTTGGCTGCTCTCAGGTTGTGCTTTGGCTGCTTGGTTTTGAGGTTAAAAGTTGGGTTCTACTTGGTGCTAGATCATTAATGCTTGAGTTGAAGTTTAGCTCATTATTTGGAGGAGTAGTTGCATTTCCTAGCTCATAAAATCATAAAGGTATGTGGAGTGGAGCTTGTCTCTTCCTATTCTTGTGTCTCTTTGGTTTCTTCCTTGTGAATAAATGCTATGGGCTGGATGTCTTTTCGTTTCTTCTCCCTGGCTGCTTTCTCGTGACCCCTCTGCCCCGTTTCCTATGTTGGCTCATCGGGTCCCTCTCTGGTTGCTTTCCCGTGGCTTGCTGGCTGGGTTTCCCGTGGCTTGTCTTCCCGTTTTCTGTGCAGAATTTGATGGCTGTTGTGGTGTCTTTTGGCCTTTCATTTCCCCAAACCTGATTGGTTTTGATTGGAGGTGTTATGTCTGTTTGGCTTCTTTCTTTTGCTTATAAATTGGAGATGTTTTGAGAAGAAAAAAGTTGTTGAATATTTAAGCAAAGTCTCTACTAAAAACCTGAGGGTTTCTTCTCTTGGAAAAGCTTGAGAGCTTGTTCCACTCCCCTTTCCTCTTCTCTATTTCGTCTTGGCTTCTAACCTCTTATTCTATACGCAAGTTCCACTCCATCTGTATCCTTCTTCTAGAGCATTTGGAAGTTGTTTGTTGGCTGATTTTGGGAGACATTTGCCAGAGGAGTTTGGTAGGACGTTGGACCTTTGGCAATGATGAACCCTCGGTTTGCAAGCCTAAGCACTATTTTCATATATTTTCCTACTCTCGTTGCATGTGAGGAAACAGCTTGACGGTTGTTCTGAGGATAGTATTTTTATGTTATAATTTTGTTTCGTTTGATTTGACTTTTTCGTTTATCTGAATGTTTGTTTGGATGTTCGCAAGCTAAAGTGAATCTAGTTTGATTTTAGTGTCATTGTGTTCTCCAATTTGACTTTTCTTTCTAGTTTGCTTACATCAGAACTCCATTAACAAGTTAAACTCAAGATCGAGTTCAAGCCAGAGGTAATTTGATTTAGGCTTGACTCATTTATAACCCTAATCCTACCTATCCGTAGTTCTTGTATAAATTCCCATTTTTTCTTCATTCTAGTTGAGTGATGTATGAGGTGTTAAACTTCATTAATTTTTTGGCAAAAATTTTAATGGCATGACTTTAAATTTGTCCATTTTTTCATAACACTCATATCTAAAAGGTGCATTTTCTACCTCCAATGATTTGATAGAATCACCAAGGTCTATTTTTTTGAAATGATCTTGAATTACAGCTAACACCTTCCCATCTATAAAAACCCCAACATCAGTCCACTCCATGTGAGGCCCAACGGGTCCTTCAACAAAGAACCACGCCTCCAAATCAAGAGTGGCACAAATGTATGTGAAGGATCCTCCTTACATTTGATATAATCACTCTGTATTTTGTTTGTAGGCGAAAGAAGGCTGTTATGGCTCATTCGCAGTCATATTACTCATTTAATTGCATATTGATCTAGACTGCATGGAGTTGCATCTATCACCATCTTCCGTATTTGTCAAATTTCACAATCTGCGGATATCAATATATTTTTCTTGTCGTAGGAATGCCACCAAATCTATTACGCTTTCAACTTATGAGCAAATGGCCTTCCACTATCATCCATACATGTTGCTTGCTATATGCATGATGGTTCTCTCATCTTTTGAAGTGACTTCAGAATGCTTTCAACGATTATCGTCTCTTCTAATATCTACATCCCCTTTGGTATAAAAGTTTTGAATGTCTGTAGGAAGCTTTACTTTGTTGATCACAAACATGCTATCATATTCTTCATTTGATCGTTGCATGCATACCAATTTGATTAAAGAGTTTAAGTCACTTTAGTTTATTATTCTTTGCTTGCAATCAACACCTCCATCATTAGCTTCGATTGAAGAACTATTGCAATATCTTGTACATCGTTCTTATTTGTTTGTAATTGATGGTTAATGAGATGTAGAGATTTTCCCCAACCTCACCAAGAGTTTGTATATGTGAGATTTGGAACATTGTTCACCACCAATCATTGTAGTTCATTAGATTAGAGTATTTCATAAATCATTTTGGAGAAATAAAAGTTCAAGTCTTTATAAACTCCGGTCCACATTCAAGTTCACCTTTGCTTGTTCAAGCTCAATGTCAAAGTTCTTTGCACTTAGTCAATTTAATTGTCCAAAGTACAAGTTTCAAATTCTAGCAATCTTTATCTTTGAGTTCACTTAAGTCATTTGTTGCAAGTCCAAGTTCTTTCAATGCTCAAATCAAGTTTGAGTGTAGTCCTTTGGCAAGTTCAAGTGTTCAATTAGCAAGCTGAAGTCCTTGCTTGAATTGTTCAAGTCAAGTCCCTTGGTCTCTTAAGTTCAAGATCATGTTCTAACTCAAGTCTTCGTTGTAGTTCATTTGTAAGTTCAAGTTTAGTGACCATTCAAGATTGACTTAAGCATTTTGTTCATTAAGATTTAATTCATTTATGGTCCAAACAATGTCCAAATAATATCCAAGTAAAGCTCCATATTGTCCGAAGTACAATCTTGCGTTTACCCGAAATTTCGGCAGCCTTACAGCGTCTCCTCTGTTTAGGGGAAAACTACGCAAAACTGGGCTTCCCGCC